TTTGTATAATTCCAGTGTGCCGGGAACTATTTAGAATGGGATGGGAAATATGTGGGCTGGGAAAATGAGAGAGAAGAGTAACACGTTTAGGGCTCTCTGTGTGATGGACAGACGCTGTGGCCTGCGATACACGCCCATCGTCACGGTGTCTTCACACCACCCTCGTGAGATACAATCCCCCCCACCCCCACCCCCGTGTCCGCAGAGCAGACAGGAGCTGCTGGGTCGGTTGGCCAGAGTAGCACTAGCCGTGGTAGGGCTGGGCTTTGCTTCCAGGTCTGTTTGACTCCAAAGCCTGTGCTCCTAATTACATTGCCTCTGCCATACTCATAACTCTCTTAGCAGCCATAAATTCAGCTCTGTCTGTTAGACCCAGTAAATTTCAAAGTGGAAAATCATTTTTCCAATAAAACTACACTTAGAAAAAAACGATGTTAATGCGCATACATTCTACCCTCATTATGACATCAACCTCCGAGCCAAACTATTTTGCACGTTATAAAGAGCTGTTTTTATGATGAATGGGGATTATATTGGCACTTTAATTGAGTTAGAAACCAAGGTACATGAAAGTTAGTGCATGAGAAATGCAATAAAGAAAAAGCTGTTCAATGTGATTGGAATATATCAGATTACTTTCATACCACCTTTAAATACATAAAGTCCATACCTTTAAATACGTTTAATCAAATTGTTGGATTAAATATTTAAATGCATATTGCACACACATTTTGCTCCTCAAAAAAATCTCTTCCTTTTCTTTTAGTTTTCTATCACATTCTTTTTTTTTTCCTTAAGATTTTATTTATTTGTTTGAGAGAGAGAATGAGAGAGAGAGAGTACATGAGAGGGGGGAAGGTCAGAGGGAGAAGCAGACTCCCTGCTGAGCAGGGAGCCCGATGCGGGACTCGATCCCGGGACTCCAGGATCATGATCTGAGCCGAAGGCAGTCGCTTAACCAACTGAGCCACCCAGGCGCCCCTTTCTATCACATTCTTAACAGATCTCCTGTATGATAAATTTGAATTCCAGGTTTGTGATCACAATTCTTTCTTTGCAACAGGCATGGAACTATTGCTCTTTTATATTCAAATACGGTAATCTAGAAGGTGAGCATGTATTTGGATAAAATTATTTAAACTGAAAAAAAAAAACTTCCAACAATGCAGGGTTTTTGACTGAAATATCGGTTCAATTTAAAACATATTAAATCTTTATTTGATTTCTTTTATTCTAGTTCAGATTTGTCCATCATTAAAATAAACACTTAATTCACATGCCCTTAAAATTAATACTTGTATTTGCTTGCTTTAGCATTCAGCAAATTAAAGAGTTTATTTAATTTGGGGCTTGTGGTTTCCTTAAGGTCAAATCCCCATTTTAGAGAAAGAACATGTTACTTAAATTATTTAGTCACATCGAGGGCCTTGAGACAAATCAAATGTCCCTCGGCTTTCTGAAAATGAGATGTCCTGTATTTTACCCTTCTCTAATCCAATCAAAAACATAGAATTGTCAGCGTAAGAGTTAGTGCATGGAGCGTGGATTTTTAAAACATAATTGGGATGAGTGTTTTGAGGAATTAATTTGCCCAAATCGTGTTGTGGTTTAGCGCACTACAATATTAGCTTTGTAAAGTACGCATTAAATAGTCCCCATCAATTATGCTTGGCTGTGAATGAATCCGAGGGTTCCTTTTGTTATAAATTACTATTTCCTAAAATGCTTTTGCAGAGAGGCAATGAAACACTTTCAGATTTGGAATGTTTAAAGAGCTGTTCTTTGCCAGTGGTTGATTTTGAGCCAGCTCAACTGTTTATAAGAACTCATAAAACAAAGCAAAGTTGAGGATGGCCCATTTGCTGGTTGCTTCTTTTCCCTCTTTCTGAAATTCTCCTTTGGTTCTTGATGGTGCTGCTTTTCACCACAGAGGACTCAGCTGATAGCTGCTTGGCCACAGAACTGAAGTTAATGATTTGGACTTTTGCATAAAAAGTCTCTTGGTGCTGCTGGTACCTGCTTGCATTTTGAGCATGCAACGTTAACATAAAATCGACAACGATTTTTGCAGCTGTAGGCAAATCCCAGACTCCCCAGATGGAGTCGCATGAGAAGATCTATCTTGAAATGGCATAAAGAAGGAGGAATAGGCATCGTGTGTACATACCTACAGCTTGAAGCTAGAGGGAGTGTTCTGAAATATTTCCAAGTGCATTGTGTGAATTCACAGAAGGTTTTGCTGTGGTTGGTCATCAGGCAAAGACCGCTGCTCGTGACTTGGGCAAGGGTTCCCAAGTTCAGCCCATAGTTTGCTCAGTTTTCTGGGCCTTTCAGGAAGACCCAGGAAGAGGCCATTGGAAGCTGGCCCCATGAGAACTGAGATATTTTGCCTTGATCCCACGGATGGCTGTGATGGGTCAGTAAATCAAAATTCTGCAGGTTGCTTTGGGGTTGTTTTGCCTTTTGAAACCAAATAGAGGCCTATTGGAGGTTTTGCCACAGGCCTGTGGAAATCTGACCATCGAATAAATGCTTTCGCTGTTTGATACTGCTGATTTTTAAAGTAAATTATTTTCTGCAGATAGGCGGAAGGCATCCGCCAGCCCATTCTGATCACCTGCACGCACTCGCTCCAGCCGGTTTGTCAGCCGGCAGGATAATAGGGCCACCTTTCTGTAAATAAGCGCAATAGTTTCTGTTTCCACCCTCTCCAGAGGGCTCCGCGGTTTTGATCTTGACTTTCAGATGGATCTTTCTGAGTTGAGGGGAGGGGTCACTGGATGGGACCAGAGGCCCCCAGGGAGAAAACCGGAGATGGATAATCTCAAAATGATTGTTGCAACCAAGTTTCTGTCCTTTCAGATGCAGGATTTCTAGCAAGACAGGGTCTGGTGAAATTTATTAGAAATAAATCTGAGTTGACGCATTTGGAGGTTAATTCAGAGAAGAAAGGCAGGATGAGACAGGGAGGCAGCAAACACCGGGCTGCGTTCCTTCAAACTGACCTTATGGAGGTGTGAGGGCGGCTCTCGGGACAGACGGACCCTGGAGGGACCTGGGCACCTCCCCTCAAAAACTCTGGTAGGAGGGAGCCCCTAAGCCAGGGGCGGAGAAGGGGGCAGGGCGTGAGCACGTGATGAGGCTGCAGTTCGTGGTTTAATTAGGCTTGAAAAGGGGAAAACTGGGCTAAATTAGATGTGTTATAGAATCAGTTGTATGGCTTGAGTTCCCCCTAAGTTTCCTTGGGTACTCCTTGTATTTTTTTTTTTTTTTTTTTTTTTTTTTGGGCATCTGAAGGCCGCAGTCTGTAGAGCCTTGATTATTTAGGAAGGAACCTTTCAACCCAAGAAGAGCCATCAAGAAATGGGGTTTACTTTCATAGACTCTGCCTGAGAAAAGCCCTTCGTCTCAGCCCCGGGTGCCGGCAGTGAATGGAGCGGGGTTTCTTGCGGGAGCCGTAAATCTGCCACCAGATGTCTCTGCAGCCCGCTCAGCAGAATGCTAACGAGCACCGGGGCGGGGGAGGCCGGAGCCCTGGCTTTCTGGGGACCTCCAGGTGCATTCCCTCGCGTTGTAAATGAAGCAGAAGCCGCCGAGTGTGTGGTGTGTGCGTGGTGTGTGTGTAATGTGTGTGTGCAGCGCATGTGCGGTTTGTGTTTAGTGTGTGGTGTATGTGTGTAATGTGTAGTGTGTGTTGTGTGTGCGTAGTGTGTTTGTAGTGTGTGTGCAGCGTGTGTGCGTGCGTGTTCTTCCCTGAGCTGCCTGGGGCTCCCCCCCCCCCCCCCCCCCCCCCCCCCCCCCTGACTTCCCCACGCCGACTCCCCTGGGCGAGTGCGAGAGGAGTGGCTGGCTGCCAGCGCCGATTAAACACAGGGAAAGGGGGGTGAAGGCAGGGCGGTGACCACTGCTGACCGCTCCGTCCTTCCCGGAGGTGGCTCGTTGGCGCTGTCCCAACGCTAGGGACAGGTAGGGAATGCCACTGAGGCCCGGGCTCCCTGCTGGTCCCCGGCCGGGCCAAGGGTGAGGGCTGCCCCCCCCCCCCCGAGCGCTGAGAAGAACAGTGACTTGCCTTCCTGTTTGTCACTTGGTTTTGGAAGCTTGAAAACATCTCACTGGAGGACTGGCGGGCAAGCTCGTTAGGCAAGCTAAACATCTATCTGGGGGAATAACGGGACGGTTGCCTAATCCTTGGAGTACTAGGTGATGCAAAGACCCCACCAATTTGACCAAAAAGACCGTTGAGGGAGAGACCCAGCCAGATGAGCGGGGTTGGATTTGGCGTCTCCTGCCGTCAGGCTGCACTGTGTGGGTACAAAGATTGAAGCCGTCAGTGTCCTTCCATGTGTGTCTTGGCACGAGCGGCCCGTGATCTTACACACATGGTGTGCACACAGTCTTCCTGCCCCGCTGGAGAGTCAGCCCTGTCCAGTCTGCGGCGTCACGCGCGGCCCCACGCATACCGCGGGTTTGGAAGGACGCGGTGCCCATTTCTAGGAGGCACGGCTTGTGCAGCTCTGTGCTTTTCGCTGAGTCGTCAGGCCGTAGTCTCCAGTTTAGGAACAGTTCCAGATAAAGGGCCGAGATACTAAGGATCGTTCAGTGGGTGAGTTGGTATCTGAAGAAAACAAGAGAACGTTTAATAACGAACAATCGGCCACAAAATATGACTCAGTATGATTCATGCACTTCATCTCATCCCCCTTGTCCACACGTCGTTCTTGTCGGCAGCAACACTCTGTCCTTTGTGGAGGCTGGAAGCTGGGCTACACAGAATCATAAAATGCAGGCCTGATCCTATTCCAGAAAAGATAGAGCCTGAAAGAATTTTCATATATTTTCTCCTCCCCCGAAGGTCACACATGCATAATATTTTGTTTTAAAAAAACTAGCTGAGGATGGATATTATGAAAACAAGAGGCAGAACCTGGATGGTGGCAGGTGGGGGGGGGTGTTTGCAGGCTCTGTCAACGGCGTGATGCAGTGTGATTCTTTTTCAACAGCTGATGGAGGGTGGCAAGGAGTGGACTGAGGTGCCCCAGGAGGGTCTGCAGTACCACCGGCAGAAGGAAGACTCCTTGGAGGCCCCCGGTGAGGGGCTGTACTTGAAGATCCAAAACACTAGTCGCTGCCACACGGGGACATACAGGTGCACCGTGGAGGAGCTGGACGGGCAGAGAAACCAAAGTGGCACAGTGACCTTGAAAGTGACAGGTGAGGTGACCTGCTGCACCTGTTTCCCCCTTGCAAAATGCGCGTGCACTTGCAGTAGGCCCTAAAACCCTCTCAACTGGAGTCTAACTGGGAGCTTTGGATCGCATCTGTGCCTGAAAGCTAAATTCTCCTACAAGAATGTCAGAACTTTTTCTGCTCCTTCCTCCTTCCCTCCTTCCCTCCCTCCCTTCCTTCTCTCCTCCCCCCTTCCTTTTTTTCCTTCCTTCTTAATAAAGACAGATCTACCCTAGTCAGATAAATGCCAGATGTAGCCAAACCACTAATCAGGGTGTTGTTTATTCATACGAGAGTCCTTTGAAGCAAATAGGAAGTATTCAAGACTAATTTTTGGAGAAAGGGTATAGTCCTGAATACATCAGGCTACTGTAGGGCCTTTCTAACCTGGGCCTTTCTAACCTGGCCTAAGGGGGGCTGTGTCATGTTGCCACCTTTTTACCACGAGAACAGCATCTCCCTCCCATTTATGGTGATGACTTTGCCCAATACCTCAACTAGGGCCGAAGAAAAAGGACACAGCGAGAAAATAATGTTCCAGTGACAGAACACACATTTTTGCTCTATGCAGTAATACCGAGAATTGAGCTCCAGGATGAGGATTATCTCTTTGGATCTCTTTCCCATACTTTTTCTTTATGGAGCTTAAAATATGCCTTGCATTTGACTTTTGCCCAGCACTTATTAGTGGTGGGGGCTCGAAATGACAAACATGTTGTTGTCATAGAGTTTCCTGATTTTTGTACCTTAACGACTTTTTCCTTTTATTGGGAATCTAAAAGGAATCTGACTTAAGAGAATATTCCTTTTTTCACAAGAACAGGATCACTGTGTTGGGCTCAGTGTTTGGATTTGGTTCACTGTTACACACACACACACACACACACACACACACACACCCCTTATGCCCTTCTCAATCTCAAGCCCCTTAGGCTGCTTTGTTGGTCTTCATGCACTTGCTACATCCGACACGGTGCGCTCTGTGCTGGTGTCCGCAGTGGCCGTCACACGGTAGGCTGTGTGTGAATTCACACTCCACGAGTGATGGAGGGAGAGCAGAGAGAGGAGGCGTGTTGTGTGGGGTGTGGAGCCGAGAGAAATCAAGAACAGCTGCTTTCCTCTCCTCTCCCGACCACGTTGCCTGCAAGTTAGCTGGTTAGACTCCAGAGTCTCTGGGATCGGGTTCAGCTCGGAGCAATGCTGCTCATTAGTGTGTGACCTTGGGCAAATCGCAGTCCTCTTATCTCTAAAATGGCAGCGACCGCATCTCCAACATGTGCTTATGGTGACGGTTGAGGGGGATATTGCACTAAAATGCTTCGCCCCTTGCCTGGGATACACTGAGTGCCGGATAAAGGTTAGGAACCATTAGGAAAATGGCTCTCCACCTTTCTTTTCTCGAGTCACAGACCCTGGCGAGAATCCATCTCTGCCGATACTCAGGAGATGTTGAATCCAGCCTCAGGGGTTGCCAGCAATCTCCAGGCCCATCCCGGCCCCAGGGGAGGACCTCCCCAATCATCTGCACTCCACCTGCCCCTGCCTGGGCCTTCTAGCAGATTCAGCACATGTTGGATGTCATGTCTGAGTGAGGAGAAGCCACCCTTGCTCTGTCTGCTCCTTCTGCCTTTGCATCCCCAAATGCTGCAGCCACAGCCTTTGGCAGCCCCCTGGGGAGCCCCTTAGCCCACCTTTGCGGCGGGCCTTGGCGGAGGAGCTTTCAGGATTCTATAGAGACGTGCTGACTTCTTCACTCATAGCCCGGCAGCTCACCCGCCCTGTTCCTTCATCCCCCGGCCTCCTGCGGGTAGAGCACCTAGTATTCTCCACAGCACAGACTCACAAATGGTGCATCATCCGGTGTGAAGGCATCAGAGAAGCCAGGAAAGGCTGGGCCTCTGAAATGGAGGCAGGTGGGCAACGGGGTCAGTGCGGCCCCGTACTACCGGCTCTGCCCCGGCCGCACTCCCTCCGCCTCTCTGCGCCCCGAGCCCTTCATCTGTAAGATGGGGGTACTCACACCTGCCTCCAATGATCGAGTGAGATCCACAGGCCAGGCCCGCTGCACACGGCCAGGTACAGGTGCAAGTGAGCTCCAGCCGCCATAGTCGCCGCTGTGGCACGGTCCCTCGCGCTCGTCTTCCCAATGGCCCAGACGTGAGCTTAGGAGTGGGAGACAAGCAGGACGCGGGAAAAAGCCGGCGCAAAGCATTCTCAGCTTTTTATCGTGGTTGCAAAGTCCTGTTAAATGGCCTCACGTGTTCCTCATGTTTTGTTTTGTTTTGTTTTGTTTTAAGGATGCCCTAAGGAACGCAAAGAAGAGACTTTTCAGAAATACCGAGCTGAGATTGTACTGTTGTTGGCTCTGGTTGTCTTCTACTTAACGCTCATTATTTTCACTTGTGTAAGTATCTTTTTAAAAACACCGATTATGATGAAAAGATTACCCGGGGCACCAACCCGAATATATTTTGTAGACAGCGTGAATCATTTAATGGTGGCGAGAGATGTTCTTCCCTGAACCTTGCACTTGCCGAGGCGCCCACACTGTGAGCTCCTTGTGGGAAGCGCCGGGCTTGTTTTCAATCTGCTTGCTCTGCGCAGAGCACTGCAAAGAGAAAACAAAGTAAGGTGTGCGAGGGAGGTTTGAGAAGGCCCGGGTGGGGACAGTGGTGGAGAGTGCAGCACCAACCTTCCACCATCCTGGGGCAAAGGCACCTCTCTTGCCGTAGGCTTCTGAGCCCGTGCAGCCACGGTGGTAGACCAGCCTCCTTCTCCTGACCTTGAACTGTTTCCTCCTGGCGGGTTCTCTCCTCTTATATTTTCGGAACTTCCACCTACTCCTTGAGAATTAACCCTGAGAAGTCAGGGTAGTGGGGCATATACAGGGAGTGTCCTGGGGTGCTTAAGTGTCCTTGACATGCCCTTGAACTGTTGGTATCAGGCTCTCCAGCTTCAAGACCCTGAACCTCTTTCCGCATGGCCATGCGCCTGGATTGACCAAAGTTGTAGGGGAGCAAGGCCAGCTCTGGGCCTGATGCACTAGGAAGCGGTCTGTCACATATGTCCCAGTAGCATCAGGAAGGACAGCCTACTAACAGGACAGAGCTCACCCAAGAGCTGTCCCAGGGCTAGTTCTTGTCACTTACTGGCTCCCTCTACTCACTTCCTTGCCTCTCTGGCCACGGACTCATCTCTTGGGTGCTATTTTGGATATCAGCCAATCCAGTAAGCGCCTACTGTACAGGCATTAAGCTAGGCACTGATAGGGGGCATAAAAAGGTTATAGGACGTAGCTCCTGCCCTCAAGGAGCTTATGATTTGGTCATTAGAGTTATCTGCACCCAAGATGGTTAGAATTACTGGAGAGAAATTTTAAGATTGAGTGACTTTAGTTTCTTGTTGGCAAATGCCTGTCTCTGTGGGTACTGATTTTCCTTGCAGGTAACTAACAGTAGAGGCTTGCAGTGGCCCCAGCCTGTAGTCAGGGCATCTCGTGGTCAGTTTGGAGCTGCCAGTGAAATAGTAGGAGCTCCCTTGTAGACTGAGTGAGGCTGCCAGAATGAGCTGGCCAGCCAGCTCTTAGGGAACAAGGCATTTTCCCGATTATTCATTTCTTGACTTACCTCTTTTACTTTTCAGAAGTTTGCACAACAACAGAGTATTTTTCCAGATTTTTCTAAGCCTGTCATGGAACGAGCTTTTCTCCCAGTCACCTCCCCACAGAAACATCTGGAGCCAGTGACTCTTCACAAGACAGAACTGGTATGAGCAGGATTTCTGCAGGTTGTTTTTCCGAAAGTCAAAGATACGCCTGGACGTCCCACAGGACAAGAGAAGAATGAGCCCCACACCGAAGAAGGCATCCTGCCTGTGAAGTCCTTCTGAAACCCCTGACAGGGGATCCCAGCCCACTTTTTGTGAGCAGGACTTCAGAAACCATTACGTGACCACGTAGCATGGGGCCACCTGCAGGAAGTCCCTAGTACTGCTGCTTCACAACTACCTTTCTTAGCATTTTCCTCAGCTATCTGGTCAACCTCTTGGAAATCTTTTCAGTCATATACAAGCTATGGTGAGACGCAGTTGGAAGAGGGTCTTGGGAAATACGGACCCGGAGCTGGCCCTGTGATAGACTCTTGAGGACCGCTGTCCTCTGCACATCTGGGAAACATCTCTTTGAATTTGCTTGTGTTTTCTTGTACTAGCCCAGATGGTTTATGTCTGGGAGAAATCGACAGGCCAAACTGTGAGACAGCGGGGAATATTTAGCAAATAATTTCCCAGTGTGAAGGCTCTGCTTTTACTAAGGAGTATTGTGTGTACACAGAAATAACAAGTTGATGAACTGCTCCCCAATGGGGCTTTTTCATCTGTGAAAGACACCCATAAAGAAGCAATAAAGAAGAGTGCCACATTTATTTTTATATCCATAGATACCTGTCAAAGAAGGATTTGTTTTTTGTTCTCCTTTTGAAATCTACATCTATGGTTACGTGTCAGGGCTGATGGACAAGTGACCTCAGTATGGAGAGTGAGTGAGATGTCAGAGAGGTCAGAGAGCATGACCACAGGACAGCCAGCTAGGTGATGACCTGTTGGAGATGCTGGACCAATCATGCAATCTGGGTTCTAGCCCCGGTTGTCCCACTACCTGACTGTATGATCTGGAACAGAGTCCTCATGATTTCTACTTTCTCACTTGTAAACCGAAAGGTTGTTGTCTGAGTTGATTGCAATAATGTATGTGAAAATGCTTTGGAAAAGCATAAAGCACTATAAAAATTTGAAGCTCCATTGGGTCATTATCCTTGTTATTACAGTGGTGTTCTAGGCATGAGAGAATGCCTTTCATTTTTCATGTTTTCCATCATTCCAAACAAAGAAGGCCACTAATAAGCCTTTTCCATAGTCTTCTGTGAGTTCTTTTGGGGAAGCGAGGAGGTCATGTCAGTGACACAGCAGCCGAAAGTACTCTAAGATATGGACACACAGGAACCACTGGGCCATGGGGAGAAAGGAGTCCACAAAATGTTACATTGACATTTTGACAGTTGTTGGGTTTCTCTTATCAAACCTGGCCCTTTCCCAGCTTGCTTTCCAAAGAGATTTTATCCCATTAGTAGTGTGTGCATTGCCCATACTGATGTTAGGGAGTCAGAGGGAAGCCAAAGTAATGCAGTGTTCTTGCTTCTTTGTCATACCCTTCACGTCATGAAGTGACTGCATGTGAATAGGGAGTGTTTTTCTTTTTTAGATTTAAAACTACTCCTAAAACTTTGGGATCAGTGCTAGGATGTCTGTAAACTAGTTTGAGAACCAGAACCCAAGATGAAATTCTGGAGATGTAACATTGGCTGAGCCCTTCCAGAGCGAGGGCATTTATGGTCGGCGGACATCTATGAAACAGCACCCCCTTGTGCCCAAGGATGCCCTGAATCCATCCTCGAGTTGCCTTGCCACCAGGATGTCCATGATCGGCGGGACCATATGCGTGACTGCTGGTGAGGGATGAGGGATGGAAAGAAGGAGGGTCTTGACTTCAGAAGGATGTGGACAGTCAGGGTCTCTGCACCTGGGATTCCTAGGGTTTCACTCAAGATTTGCAGATAGGTCCACTACCCTCGAAATGATAAGAACAGTCTAGTACAAGTGGCTGTAATAGTTGTAAAAGTATCATAGGTGACTCCTCTTTGGAAAATGGCTCTTTATAAAGATGAATGCTCATAAAATGTCTGTAAAAGCTGTAGATTCCCTTTCAGTGGCATCAACTCCATTCTCAGATGCTTTCCCAGAAGTGCTGGGGAGCCCATTGGCCTGGTAATCACAAGCTCCCTACTCAGCCAGGTTTGAAGCCCAGCCTCAACACTTATAAGCTGTACTTGTAAAACTCTGGGTCGTGGACTGCCTTGTCTGAGCCTCAGTTGGCAGATCTTTAGAATAAGAATAAGAACAGCATCGGCCTAAGAAGTTTGTTGTGAGGATTAAATGAGGTAATAGGTCTAAGAGCTGAGCCCAGGGTCTGGCAAATGGTAAACCTTAGAGTAATATCAGAGCAAGAAAGAACAAAAAGGCAGCAGAGAAGGTGACCATGAGCCTTTGACAGACAAAGTGGTTTTGTGAAAAGCAAGGAATTGACTTGGTGTAGGAGTTGTGTTGCTTTCAGAGGATGAATACACAATGAAACCAAATACTTCGTGGCCATTGGGATTGCAGTTCAGGAAAGACCAGGGAGGGGGCCACCCCCATTAGCTTGAACTGACTCAAGCGAAAAACATGATGGAGATTTGAAATCAGACTCAACATTTTGCACCTAGTGTTTGGAATGAGGAAAGACTGTGTGTGTGTGTGTATGTGTGTGTATGTGTGTGTGTGTGAAAGAGAGAGCAGGGTAAGGTGGGTAGGGCAGAATTTATCAAGGAGAGTGAACTGCCTTGATTGAGGAAGGTAGATGATCACGAACCATATTTGTTCTTTGTCTCTACTGCCAGGGAAAGCTTTATTCTCAGGACCCTCCTTGGTCTACGCAGTTAGATCTAAGGTTCAAATAATTTCACTTTGGGATGTCCCAAGACACCAATACAGACATGAGTATCAGCACCACATCTTTCCAAAAGAAGGCCTGTGGATTTTGTTTTCATAAAAATTCATAGCAGGTTTCATCATAGGAAACACTGAGCTGCACTCACAGAACCCAACAGAGCCCAATTATTTGCCGGGGTTGCAGGAGAAGGGATCCAGCCACAGCCTGTGGACATAGAGTATGTGAGGCTCATGTGTTTGACCCCATAGCTCAGGGAGAGTCTCAGAATAATGCCGTCTGGTTGTCCCGCCCTTCCCTCATTGGCAACTTTATTTGGCTCGATTAACTGGATCATTGTCTGATACTCCATCTTTCCTATGTTAAAAACAGCCAAAGGCCTAAAAATCCTAGGATAGGAGCTGTTTGCTTAATTCAACAGCAATTAGCCCTCACAGTTTTGCAGCTGATTGTTTGCAGAGCCAGATTTGATTGAATTGGTTGGTAAGATACAATCAATCAGTTCTTCGGTCAGAGTCTTTTATTGCTATTTATTATCCTCTTAAGACTAAGTGTGTTTATTTTCTAATTTTCATTTTTAAATTGCATTCGAAGTTCAAATTCTACCACCTGTAGAGTTCTACCACCTGGAGTGTCTTGTGTGTCTGTGTGTGTTGAATGGGTAAAGTTAAACATTAAGTGTGTTTGCTGAGCATTTACTCTGGACAAAGTACTATTGTAGGCATTCTCTGTAATACTCAGAAAAAGCAAGACACACCCATCCTTTCAAGGGCTTAAAATCTAGTGGAGGGAGAAATGAGCCTTAAGCTGTAAGCACAGCGACCTGTTAACATGAGGCAAGTAAACAAAGAAGAGTGGGAACACAAACAAAGGACTGTAGGAGGGTCCAACTTCATGTGGGAGCTCCTTAGCAGGCTTTAAAGAACTGATTCCATTTGAACTCAGACTTGAAAGTTAAGCAGGATTTTGAATGGTAATAATGGGTGAGGAAGGGCGGTAGGAATGGCAAAGACATGATTGCTAAGGCCAGAGGCAGAGCACACACTTGAACAGTGAATTGCATGAGAGTTCTGTAGGCAGAGGGCACCCAGAGCCCAGGTCACATAGGGAGGAGGCAATAATGGAAGGTAGACACGTTTTTGTAGAGAATTTGTATGGTGGGGCAGTCTCGAAGGATTCTGAGCCGGGCAGCCGTAAGATAAGATCCATCTCCAGGACGATAACCTGAGGGATGAAACAAAGGAGCTGGAGGAGGTGGGAAGCAGGAAGACCATCTGGAAGGCAAAGAAAGGAAAGGAAGCCCAAAGAAACACAGCATGGGTGGGAGAGAAAGGGAGGAATGGAAATGAGCTCATTCTTATGTGTTGTCTTTTCTATCTTCACTCCTGGGTTTGCTTATGATCCTAGCTGCTGTAAACTTGGGTCTGCTTTCTTTTCTTAGACCACAGAGAAGGGCCTCGTGTGTCACAGCCGTTGCGATAGCGCATAGGACTCTGGTGTTGTTGTAGCAGCAGATGTTGCATGGGTAAAGCTGGTTTTATCCCTCTTTGTGCCCACTCCTGCATCAGTTTCCCTGTCCCAGCAGAACAGTCTGGAGTTTTCCCCTTGTGGAATCTGATACTACGTTTGGTCCACAGTTGGTTGACTCAGGAAACACGGAGTACATCATCCGAGCTCCGCAGGTGGACGTTTTCCTGTGCTTACAGCCACATAGCAGACATAGGCTTCTTTCATTGGGTCCGAGCCCTTAGACTTTCTCCAGCTGATGACATGTTACATAATTGCTCCTTAGCAAATTTTTACAAATAAAATCTTCCGGCAGTTGGCGGATGGACAGACCCCGCCAACAAAGTGCAATGATAAACCAAAAAAGATACCTTCCAGGGAGCCCAGTAGGGGCAGTGTGGCTAGCACGGTGTGGGTATGAATATGTCTACATGGAAAATGGTGCCACGTAACATGGCTGCTTGTCCCAGAGCTTGACAAATGCCGTACGAGCCCCACTCTGTCGTTCAGAGACAAGGCATTTCACTTGCAGACCTAGTCTTTCCTTTCCACTTCTTTATGTCGTTCTCCCCATGGGATCGCAGGCAGGCGCACAGTTAGGTAACAAAGGACCATCAGGAAAACATCATCTAGGTGGGTTGTATTTGTTCCCATGGTTCCTGAGAAGTTAGGGTGAAGGGAGGAGGCAGAACTTGGACCCTGCCAGCAAATCTTCTCTTCTTTTCTCCTTTCAATGCACGGACATGTACAGAATCTCTCTGGGCAAGGGAGACAGACCTCACTTAGTGGTTCATTTAGATTCTGCATGAATCTAAATTCATGTCTTCAAGGAAGATATTGTTTTATTCTTCATGGTAGGAGGGGCAATTTCTTCAAATTGACCATTCCCCCCCCCCGACTCTTTTCCAAAGTAACCTGTTTACAATCTCCTCTTGTAGATTATGGTACTTAGTAGAGACAAGTAGAAATTCAGACACTGAAAAGCTTCAAGACATCCCGCAGAGTTGGAATGCTTTTTACAAAGGGGAAAAAAAATCTGCAAATGTGTATGTACTTGCTTCTCTCCCCGAAAGAGCCAGCTGGACAGCCCATAAACGGTTCCTATTCAGGAACAACAAAAGCCTGTGTCAGAAGTCAAGGGACAGGAGGCTGAGAACTAATAATAATTTTGCACTTACTCAGCAGTTTTCATCCGAAGACCTCAGAGTGCTTTATAAACATTAATTAAATTGCCCTGCAACCCCGTGAGATGGCTGTGTATCACTATTTTCAATTTGCAGGGGGTGGAGGGAGGAGAGAGGTATGCATGGAGTGAAGTTGGAACTGGGCCATGCGACGATGCACGTGGCTTGTGGACTCAGAAATAGCAATAGGATCTCGTCCCCCATGAAGCCAAGGCTAGGGTCATGCGCCACAGTACCTGCTGGGCTGCAGAGGAGATGGTCTGGCAACCGAGCAGCTTTGGACACTTCCCCTCCAGTGGGAGCCACCTTGTGCACAAAGTGAACAAGGTGCCACCTGCCCTGGGCTTGAACCGTGTGGACACATGCTTATCACCACATGCCGGGCTGCTGTTACTACAGACTCATTCCTTGAGTGGCACTCGGGACGGCAGGTCGGGTTCCCCAGAGATGCTGCTTCTGCTTATCTTGCAGTGCAGTGGGGACAGCGCTGTGAAGGACTGTGATGTCCACTCCGCTCAGCAGAAGAATCCCATGATCAATTACTGATATCTGCCCTGCCGGTGG